TATATTTTTATGCTTATTTGGGCATTAGATAAAGTAACTAAATAAGTTTTAAAAGTATTACCCCATATTAGATTTCTATAATACAAATGTGGATATAAAATAACGTAATACATTAAAACTGAAATTTTATTTGGTAGAAGATATTGCCGGAAATTTTACAAAAAGACAACCGATGGTTTGGTGTGAGGTAATCTCTTCCTCTATCTTTCTCAGGGAATTTTTTTATGGTCCGACAATAATTTTTGTGTATATTTTTATCGTGAGTTCGACCAGTCCTGTGTGGCACTGGGCTTTTCGAATTATATGATTTTACTGAGTAAAACTCGAACGCGTAAAAATATTCGATAACAATTTTATTAATCGACGGAAGTAAATGAAAAGGAATTGAACTAAATGAACTCTATAATAATGTAAAATGTCAATGAAGAAACTGGAATACAGGAATTAGAACTTCTTCTTGTGGGATCTTCGACTTGGGATATGTTTCTTGCCGTTTAATCGTACAACCTCGACGTGTGTAACCGATAGTGATGTCGATACAACTCCGAGAAATAAAATGAAACGAATGCGGAAAAATTAGAAGAATCGGAGCCTATGGAAATTGGAAGCTGCGTGTGAAACTATACCAATGAGTATAAAATCCAGCAAAGAACCCTAGGTCCACAAATAGCACAAGAAACAAAACAGCCAAAACAGCGAGGCGGGTTCGTTTTCACAGAATCCAAGGCCTGTTTTCACTGGGCCTGTCTGTCAGTCGGTCGGCTTTCGCACAACCCTGGCCTGTTTTCACTGGGCCGTCGAGTCTGATCGGCTTTCGCACAACCAACACAAAACAACAAGAGTCAGAACAACACTGGAAACAAATTGTGTGACTTTAGTACGCGTGTGAAACTATGCCAATGAGCATAGAGTCTCGTACCAAATCCACTTTTGAGAACTTAAGACGTTTCTGAAACTATGCCAATGAGTATAGAATCACGCAGTAAGTCTCTTAGATACCAGAGTAGGCACTGATTATTCGAAGCTGCCTAACTGGTGAAACCCAGGCGGACTTTTTTTGAGAACTTAAGACGTTTCCAAGTCAACCTCCCTCTCTTCTCTTCGAGAACTTAAGACGCCTCCGTGCTAATGGGCATAGAGTATCGAATTAAGTCTCTGAGGGACCAGAATAGGCACTGATTATTCGAAGCTGCCTAACCGGTCAACCTCCCTCTTTCCTCGCTGTCTCCTTCCTCCACCCAAAGCAAATTAGATTTTGTTTCGGGTGTTTTTTAAACATAAAAATTTCCAAGGTATGTCCAATTAATCAAAAAAAAACTACTAATTAAATTTTAAAAATAATTTGTAATAATTTATGACGTCATCTAAATTGCAAAACAATCACCTATCGAGTAAATTAACTTGCACCATGCCCCCTATCGAGTGAATAAATTTTGCGTTGAAAACTTTTTGAAGTATTTTTAGTCAGTATTAATTCATAATTCTGACAATATTTTAATCTGTTCATTATCCTCAGATTTCTGTTTATTTTTTGCAAAATAAACTCAATATTTTTTTTAAAATTGAATTTCTTATCTATCACAACTTCTGATAATTCAAATTCTTCAACTTTGTCGAATATGCTATTACCTAATTTTAAAACAATTCATTACCATCTCGATTTAAATCATTAAAAACTATATACTTAGTTTTTTTTATATTCATATTAATTTTATTATAAATAGACCAAGTGTGCAATTTATCTAAACAAATGTTTGTAGAAACATTCAAATTCTTTATGTCTCTAGAAATGATGACCAATGTTATGTCATCTACTGAAATTAGAGATTTTGGTTGTATTGATGATATCATTGATAAAAAGTATGAATAATTTTTGGGCCCAGAATATTTCCCTGTGGTACCCCACTTACTAGATGAGTATCTGATTTACAATGATTTATTGATACTTACTGAAATCTATTTGTAAGGTAACTACGAAACCATTTCAAAGCATGCCCTCTGATTCCGTAATGTTCCAATTTCAGCAAAAGTACATCATGTGGAACGGAATCGAACGCTTTTGAGAAATTCAAAACCACGGTAGAGACAACATGACCAGCATCATATTTAAAAACGATTTCATTAAAAAGTTTCATAACTGCATCCTCAGTCGAAAAATTCTTGAAAAACCCAAATTGGTTATTTGTTAAAATATTATTGGCACTCATAAATGACTCCAGTCTTATCTCGACAACCTTCTCTAACTCCTTTGAGAAACAACAATAATTGTTAACATTATTAGGTGAGTTAGATTTATGAATTGGAACCACAGTCTTAAGACAATCTGGAAAAGTTCCGGTCGAGAGTGATAAATTAAATAATGTACATGACAAATTGAATTATTTATATATTTTAAGATTTTTTAAGATTTGAAAACTTATAGTGGTCCAAACTAGATGAGTTGGATAAAGATTTCACATTGTTGAATATTTCATCTAGACAGGTTGGCATTGAATAGATGGAAGAGGAGATCTTTTAACTGTTTGGTGCAACCCTCACAGTTATAACCACAGTTAAATGTCGAATCGCTAAAAATAATTAAATCAATGAAAATAATATTTAGAACCTAACGTGATAAAATTTTGATATCGTCGCGGCAATTATTTGGCAAATTTGTTTCTGAAACTTAAACAACCTAATTGAAATTTGTGAAATAACGTTATAAACATTATGACAAAATGAAATAATATTTTAACCTCAGTAGTAGAACGATTGACAAAACAAACTTTAATTTGTGTGTTTAGTTGAAAAAATTCACATCTCATATAAAATTATTTTTAACTTCATTATAAATTGTTAAGCAATGTAAAAAATGTACAGAACTTCTGAAAAAGACACTTTGACTAACGTTTCACAAACAAGCTAATCACTACATTTCGCTATTTATATGAAATATTTAACTATTCTGACTCTAACCATAAAAAACAGCTAGGTGGTTTAAATATCCTACAAATGAACAGTGAAAATAATACTCTATCGAATTAATAAAAAATAATATAGGCGTTAATAATGGGTCCAACAAAGAGAAAGAATGCCAATTTAATTTTTATATTTCATTAATTCAAAACTACAATTTTGAAACACTTTGATCATTCCCGCGCGCGGTTATAACATTACACCAACTTTAGCCTGTTAATCCCAAACATAGGCGTAACTTAAATAGTAACTTTTCATAAATTCATCAAATGCGAACGTCAACCCGCATTTGCTATCAGTGGAGTAGTAATGTAGGTACAGAGAAGGGAGCTGTACCCATTGAATTATATATAAGAATGGCTTTATAGTGTTGACCTTCTTCTCAAGGTCAGGAAACTTGGAAGCAAACTTTTTTAGCACCAAATTGTCAATGGGTTTTTCAGTTTTCCAATTTATATTTAGCTTCTTTCCTGTTAACGTGCTACTGGCGGCATTCTTGTAAACATTTTTTTTACCGCTAAAATCATTCTACGGCAGTTTTAATCGATTTTTAACTTAATAATTTAACTGAATTATGTAAAATTTTTGGAATCATTTGTTATTTGATCCATTTTGATTTTATAAAGTTCATTAGTTTAAATTAATTAAAAGTTTCAAAAATGTTACATTGTGCCAGGAGACCTAGGCCCTGACTAGTAGAAGAAAAGAGGCTTTGCTTTTTTGTATTTTTATTTTAAATTTTTGACTTTTTAATTTTTTAACTATCGTTAATTAATTAATGCTCAAATGTTTTTATATTGTTTTTATATTATGGGTTTATTATTATTATTAGGATGCCTTTGTAAAATGGCTTTTTGTCATAAGAAATGCAGAATACAAAGAGTTTTTTTATTTTAATTTATTGGGTATATATATATATAATATATAATATATATATATATATATATATATATATATATATATATATATGATGAAAAATTTTAAATGCAGCTATTTACTTTCAAATTTAAATCATATTTAGACGTTTTGCTCAATGGATCAAGCAACAGCAAAGGCAATCAAAGTGGACTAACACTGCCACATTCGAGAACATTGAACAAGTAAAATTTTGTTAATAATGATATTCTGTAAACTAATATTGCTATATAAAGAAATATGTACTGCAAATGAAATATTGCAAATGCTCTTTAATCCTTGATTCGATATCAATAAAGCCTCAAATAACGTATAATAGGAAAATTGGTAGGTTTTTAAAATATATTTTGTTTGTAAATTTGTGAGTTTAAAATATAGCATATTTTGGTAGCATATGCTAGTTTATTCCTGGTGTATTTTATTTATTTCTTGATTTTTTTGTTTCCCATTTCACTATAAGCATTTGTCTTCAATTTTTTTAATTTTATTGATGTTAAATGTTAAGCATAAATTATCAAACGCATTGTTTATTTGTGAAGATGACTTTATTGGATATGTTAACTATGGAGATGGGAATGAGGACAGAGGTGCTTCAGAGGTGTTGATTTTTTAGGTTGTTGGTCTGAAAGAAGCTGGAGGCATTAAATAGCTTATTTTTATACCAAAAAATTGTCATCTCACAA